TCCATGGGGACACAAAGAGTTGGACACAACTGAGCAACTTTCCCTTCACTTGGGGCGCTTTTGGCTATGGGAGAGTGAAAGTATCAGTCACTCAGTCATCTGACTCTTTGCAACCCCATGGACTGTAGCCCTCCAGGCTCCTCTGTTCATGGGATTCTCCGGGCAAGAATACTGGAGTGGGTTGCCATGCCCTTCTCCAGGGGATCTTCTCTACCCAGGGACAGAACCCATGTCTCCCGCATTGCAGGCAGAGTCTTTACCATCTGAGCCACCAGAGGGGGTACAGTGAAATACGCATGTGCAGAGACTGCTAGACTTGGACTGACCAGGAGATTGAGACAGAACCCTATGGTCACAAGGAAGGCAGGGTTGTGGAAATCTTCAGGTGACGACTTGGGAAGGGGCGCTTGGTTGTAATTGTCCAAAGCATCATTCCATCATCATCTGCACTGTGCCACTGGGTGAAGGTCAGATCACACCCTCAGGCTCATATCAGCCTCCACTCTTTTACCTGCGGACACCTACAGGTGAAAATGTTCAAGGTAGGGCTGAGACCTGACATTCATCAGGAAACAGTTTTGGCACATTCATAGCGTGTAGAGCACAGTGTCTGTGCTGATGCTGGTCAGGGGTTTGTTTGCTCACTGACTGTCCTCGGCCTTGGAGATCAAGTAGCAATTAAGACCTCTGTGTCCAGAGCTGTCCACCAGGTTCTATGCTCATGGTGACAGAAGAAGTGAAGAACACAGCCTCTGCTCCTGAAGAGTGCACACCTGTGCCTCTTAGGATGGCAGAGAGCTTAGCTTTTATTAACTTGGAACTGGACTCCTCCTCCGGGGCCTTGCTCTGACCTTGTGGGGCACCTGTCCCATCCTGTGTGTTTGTTTAGATGCTGCGGCAGTCACCACCTGGGGCTCAAGGAGCCTCATACCCTGCTGGTCCTGAGAGTGATGCAGTCAAGTCTGTGGGAGTTAGCAGTGTGTGGCCTTGGAATGAAGGAAGCCAAATTCTCTGGCTTGTTTGGGGACCAAACTCTGTGACCTTGGTATTTTTAGCAGAGCACTGGACTACGGAACAGTGGAGCTGCCAGGGACCCAGAAGATGCTGCTGGTATAATGGCAGAGAGGGAAAAGGATTGGCTTTGATCTCACAAGAGAACTGACTTTAATGCCTGGTCTTGCCTTTTATTAGCAATTTCATTTTCTTCTGAGCCTCAGTTACCTCCCCTGTGAAATGGAATGGATAGTAACATCAGGATATTTTGGAGGATTTAATGAGATAACATATTGGAAAGTGCTCTCAGATGGTAGGTTCTGTATTGGTCATTGCAGTGTTTCCCGTTCTCGTGGCATTTTGTAAACACCTGTGTTATGACACTCTTTGCGATGAATTATAGTCATTACATTTCTGTGTGTCTCCTTCCACTAGACTGAGGGCCAGGGCGTTTTTCCTATGGTTCACTTTCCTGGAGCCTCTCGCATAGGCCTCCTCTGGACGAGACTCAGAGTTGAGCTGAGTAACCTTCAGAACTTGGGTTTTGCTAGGAGACAGGTCTTTGCATTTTGAGTCTTCCTCCCTTGCCCCCTCCATCTCTGACTCCCCCACTGAGGGCTGGGCTGATCCTGTCCTGGGGGGGTCTGTTTGAGAGCACGTGTCTTAGCAGTACCTCGGAAGCTTGTCATTAGACTCTAAAATGCTTGAGGACAGATTTCCAGTGCTCTCCTGTATGCTCAAACAGGCATGGGTTTGAGTAGCAAACTGGCTCTGATCTCTTCATTGATAATTTCTAGGGTTTCTGTGGTATTTCTGTTCATTTGATCTCAGTTTTAACACAGTTATTGATTTCCTCAGTGCAGTTCAATTCCTTGAGCATTTATTGAGCACCTTTTCCTTGCTAGACCCTGGGCTGGGTGTTGGGCATGTTGAAATGAGGAAGACAGTGTCTCCACCTGAGATATTCTGGGTCTCAGAGGGGAGGCAGGTGAGAAAACAGAGGCTTCCTCTAGGATGTGGTAAGGGCAGTGACAGTCGTGGGGACAGAATTTTATGGGAGTTCAGAATAGGGCCCTTTTCCTTAGTTATCTTTTGCAGCCCATTGCTGTTGCTTCTTACAGATGGATGGGGGAGCCAGATTGTGATCCCTGCCCTCAGGATGGTTTGAATACTAGGAGAAAGCCAGTGGCAAATGTGTATCAGCCAGAGGTTCAGTTGACAGCACTCCGGCACTGGATGAAAGAGAAGAAAGTCTCAGGGCCAGGAGGGGGCAGAGGGCCACAGGTGCACGACCCTGCCTGAAGAACGAAGGGTTTTGGAGGCCTGGGGAGACGTTGGTTCAGCCAAGGGCTGCACTTGGTAAAGGGCGTCTGGACACATCTCATGGCCGGCTGCTTCTCTTTTTGACATTAGCTTTACTTTTCTCCCCTTTCCCACGTCATCATCCGTGATTATCTGACAGTTGCTTCTCCACCAACTCTTGTTTCTTCTCATCGCCTTTCCTACTTTCACCTCCACGTTTCCTTTGACTGCTCACCACCCTCATCCTCCCATTCTCCGTTCCCTCTGCCATTTTTTCTTCCTTTCTTTACCTGTGCCTTCCTGCCTTTTAATAGCATCCTTGACTTCCTACCTCCATGTTCCAACATGTCCCTTGTTCATCTCAGAGTTGGGGAGGAGACTTTCGTTTTCAGTGGCCTTTCTTATGATGTGAAAGAGCATCTCATGTGTATCTGGGTATCCTAGGAAACAGAATCCTGGTTTCTGAACGGGGCAGATTACTCACTGTGTTTGTAAGACAGCAAACCAGAGGGAAAGCAGCCTCCGTGTGTGCCCCTCCAAAGACTGAGAATACAGTGGGCTTTCCCTGTAAGCAGGATCAGGGTAGCATTGACCCCATTTTCATGGGGTTCTGATTCTCTCTAACTATACCTATTCCTGAAGCTTCTCTTTCCTTCCTTTCCTTTATTTTTTAAATTTCTGTCCTGATTTTCAGTTCTGTTGTCCATGTTTCTCCTTGTTCTCTCTCTAGTTTTTTCCCCTACTTATTAGAGATTACATCAATCCCCTCCTTAGTGTCTCTCTTTTGCCTTGGAAGATAGAATCAAAAGCTCCTTATTTTCAGATGAGCTGATGGAAGTTTGGGTTGGAAAAGACAGAGAAAACGTGTGAAGCTTGCCTAGCTCCTAAGATGCTTTCGAGACTAAGCTTTCTTTCTAGTTCTTATTTTGAGGTTGGATCAACATAGTTATGGAATCTTAAAAGAAATCTCTATTGGCTATTTAAATAACCTTCAATCCAATGTTGGAACCCTCTTTCCTTCATTAAGAGGGTTCTTCTGCTCTGTTCTTGAATACTTTTAATGTTAGAAAGTCATTACCACATAAAGCAGCCCACTTGTTGGCTAGCACTGCTTGTTTCAAAGTTACTACTAATGATTATAATCTGGATCTGTGTAATTTGTGCCTGTTGATCTCATATGTGCATTCTCAAGATAATACAACATAAGCCTTTTGTTCACGTTTTAAAGGAACTTCAAGATATCTTCTTCAGTCCTTGAAATATTTTGGAGAGATTCCACTGAAAATAATTAAATGAAATAAACCATTCTTGCCACCCTTTTGCTGTATAGAAAAGTCAGTTTTCTGAATGACTCATTCCTTAGCAGTTCCATATAGCTGAAATTGTCCTGGAAGTTGTAAGGAAGAAAAAGAACTATCCTATACAAGGAACACTAAAATTAGACAAAATTGTTAAAGCAATATTATTAACATTTGTGCTAGATATAATGTCTAGTTTGTTAAGTATAATGTCTACTTTGCACATTAAAGTTTAGAGAACACTCATAATATTCAATGCCATGTCATTTTATTTTTGTAAGTAGGCCATGGTACTCCCCCAGTTTGTAGATGAGTGTAGTGAGGCTCATAGAGGTTGACTGGCCTCAAGGCACCCAGTTCTCAAGTGCATGAGTCAGGACTGAAACCCAGTTCTTCTGATTCTTAGTCTTCTGCTGTCTGTCATAAATACTTAAGTGTCTTCGTCTCTCCAAAGTACCTGCAATGTCATGGGATTATATGAAATAAATTGTCTCCTCAAGACAAGGTACTTGGTGTACACAATCTAATAGGATTGTTATGGATTTTTGTTTTGTGTGTGTCTGTTTCTGCATATGGCTGTGGAAGTAGAAAAGTGGAAACAAAGAAACCAAATCCAGCTCAGGCAGTGATTTGGGGGCAATTATAAAAATACTCTATGGGGACCAGTGATGCTATTCCCGAAGTATAAGCATCAGTATGATTGATTTTGTTGGTGAAAATTCTAAGTGTCAAGGTAAAGAAGAATGAGTTATTCCTTTACTGCAGTTAATCCAGAGAAATTTCCCGAAGGAGATAGGAAACAGGGAATTCTAAGAAAATTTTAAATAAAAAATGTGAGGGCTTTGATAGATTGGAAAGTTGTTATTATTCAGTCGCAAAGTCGTGGCCAACTCTTTGCAGCCCTGTGGACTGCAGCATGCCAGGCTTCTCTGTCCTTTGCTATCTCCCAGGGTTTGCTCAAATTCATGTTCACTGAGTCCGTGATGCTATCTAACCTCATCCTGTGCCGCCCCTTTCTCCTTTTGCCTTCAGTCTTTCCCAGCATTACGGTCTGGAAAGAGGGGAAGGTAATTGGCAAGACTTAGAGGAGGGTTGGGAACATGGTTTCGGGGCAAGAATGAGACAGATGCTGGGGACCTCGTGTTTTACTAATGATTTGAAACTAAGATTCCAATGTGATGATCAGTTTTCCTCCTTTGCAGAGTGAAACCCTGATGTGACTAAATTTAATCTCGCTTGGAATCACTGGTGATTCACCCAAGCTCAGGTGCGCCCACGCGCAGCTGGCATCAGCTCTGTGCGCTTTCCAGGCTGATCCTGCTCTAACCCAGCTTACCCTACTCCCCATGGAGCTAGGGGAGAAAACCAGACTGTGGTAACCTTGACCCTCTGTGTCTCCATCTGCAGCATCCTGGCTACTGCGGGAACCCACTTCAACACCCATGTGGACCTGAGGACCCTCCGGGCTGTGCGTGTCCTGAGGCCCCTGAAGCTCGTGTCGGGGATACCTAGTGAGCATCCGTCTTTCCTCTTCCTCCTCTGCTAAGAGCTTTTCTGTTGTGTCCTCAACCAGATCCCGGGATAAGCAAGAAATAGTTTCCCCAGAGAGGAAGCCCCTGCAGTAATAAAGAGAGGACCTGCAGCAATCTGGCATTATCTTCCATTTTAAAATTTAGCAAATTTTTTCACATTTAAAAGATAATGAAAGATCTTTACAGAAAATGTGGAAAGGAAACAATACAAAATTGAAAATGAAGAGTACCCATTATCCTGTCACTCAGAAATCAATTTTGTTAACATTTTAGCATATTTTTTCATTCATTTTTTTCCTGTACATTTTAATGTATGTGGGATCATAATGTATTTTTGATTTTGGATCCCATCATGCACATTTGATTTCCCTCACACTAATAATTCTTCAAAAGTATGACTTTGAAATCTGTCTTATATTCTTTCTTATACCGTCCATGACTTGGGTAGTCCTTTCTACGTTACTATTCATTTAGGTTATTTTCAGCTTTTTTTCTTTCGTTTTTTTTTCCCCCTAAATAGAAATAGTGTGGTAACAAATGTCTTTTGACTTAAATATTATTCAGATCCCTGATTATTTTCTTAGACTAGAATCCTAGAAGTGCAAGTTTTGGGTCTAAGGATGCAGTATTTTATGAATAGTGGTTGTACTAATTGTGCTTCCATGACAATGAATGGGAGAGCTGGGTTTGAGATAAGAGTCATGGGAAAGATGAACTTTGTCCTTGTTCTTCCAGACTTACAACCTAATAAGATAAGGCCTAATTCCCTTTGGGAAGGAAACACATTCTAGTAGGTTTCATCTGTAAGAAGAATCCAGAAGACAGTGTGGGTGAAATGAATAAGGGAAGGGTAATACGCAAGTAAGTGATCAGGGAATAAGTGAAGAGGAGCAAGGGGTTGATTCCTTTGGGGAGGGGTGATGGCAGTCTTTGGCTTGACATGTCTTGGTTATCCCTTTGTGAATCATTTTCTCATCTCAGGACCAGTGGTCCTTTTCCCTCAAAGACTTGGCCCTTTCTCCTAGGAGAGGGTACACAGCCTGCCCTGGCGGGGTGCTAAGTGAGGGCTCCGTTCATCATTCTCTTTCTTTCCTTCCAGGCCTACAGATTGTGTTGAAGTCCATCATGAAGGCTATGGTGCCTCTTCTGCAGATTGGCCTTCTGCTCTTCTTTGCTATCCTGATGTTTGCTATCATCGGCTTGGAGTTCTACAGTGGAAAGTTGCACCGAGCATGCTTCATGAACAATTCAGGTAGGGTCACTATTTGCTGGCTTCTCCTTCTTCCCTTCCTCTCTCCTTTGGTCATGGGGGTAATTTTAGGATATTTGGAGGCTAATTGGAAAACAAAGTATGTCCTATCCCAACCCTAGAATTAGAAGCAGAGGCTTCCTAGTCATCAGCTTTATGAGGTACAACCAGCCTAAAGATCCCCATTGCACACTGATATTGCAAAGCAAATAACCTCTTAGGTTTATAGTCTGTTTCAAATAGAAGGTCTCAGCTGCCCCATCCCTCTGTAGAAGGCTATCAGAAGGCATGTCAAAAACCATCTGCCTGAAAAATTACTCTTTGTACAGGGGACACTCTGGCCCACAGCCAGAAAGGCCTCAGGAGTCTGAAGTCAGACCTGGGGCCCTTCAGATCTCAGGGCCGTTTTCTCCCTATGCTCAAGCTCATGATATTCCCCCACTCTGCCGTCAACCATGCATAGTATGGAAGAACTGAGTGAGTTCTGAGCATGACTTGGCAGTGGTTAAATTAGCGAAGTATACAAGATCTCACATTCTTGTCTCTGTATCTTGTTTGTTCAAGTTGAGTAGACTGTTTTAGGAGGAAAGATGGCAGGGAGAGGTTGAATGAGCCCAATTAGCTATGATGTTTTTATGAAAAGAATCTTTAAAGGACATCGTCCGTGTTGGATTTGTTTTAATTTTTGTCTTATTCCAAATGAGGAATTTTGGCCAGAAAAACAAGGAGTTAAGACCCACGAAAGGGACTGTGGTTTATAATTGTTCCCAAGGAACCCAGAAACAACAGGGGAGCTATCCTGGAGTCTGAAGTTAGAAAATCACTTAAGATTTTGCCTTCAACTCAGGCCCTTCTGGGTGATACCCAGTCCTGTAAATTCCTGTGGGGCTCAGGAGAGGGTAGAAGATGTGACCTGCAGAAAGTGGGGGTGGGGGGATGTGTGGAGGAGGCTTCATTTTCAGAGCAGGTTGGGAAACACTGGGTTGAACACATTAGAGTTTGTGAGCTGTGACGTGTAGCGATGCCAGAAAGGGGTAGGAGCTGGAGACAAGGAGGATAGACCTTCTTGTGGGAAATAGAAATGCATGCTGTGGTCTCCTGGGGTTATTTGCAGCTCATGTGAAACATCACGTGGTTTATCCCCCACCCTCCAAATGTGTCTGCAGGTATTCTAGAAGGATTTGACCCCCCTCACCCATGTGGCGTGCAGGGCTGCCCAGCTGGTTATGAATGCCGGGACTGGATTGGCCCCAATGATGGGATCACCCAGTTTGATAACATCCTTTTTGCCGTGCTGACTGTCTTCCAGTGCATCACCATGGAAGGGTGGACCACCGTGTTGTACAATGTGAGTAGAGCTGGTGAGGGGCCGGAGCAGAAGGGAAGGATCATGGAATTAGGCTCCTGGCTTGGTTGGGGTTGGTTAGCCGGGGGAAAGGAAAGATTGGAAATGTGTATGGGGGTGTGCATGTGTGTGTGTGGACTCAACTATGGTAGGCTTAGAAGTTTCTATGCCTCTGTTTTTGCCCTTTTGCTAAGCACACAGCTTCTTAATAGAGTTAGGAAATTACATGCCATATTTGGTGGGTGAACAATGCTAGTTAAATCAGATCAGCTCAGCCATTATAGAGTATGTTTTGCTACTGGTTTGACGTGGTGGTAGGATTGAGTGAGTGGTACCAAGAGTTATAGGTTTCTTGGTTGCTGTCTTTAAAGAACTTACCATTGGTCTGGAACGATGTTCTAGTAGTTCTCAATTCTGGCCGTGCACTGGAATCAGCTGGGAGGGAGCTTTATAAATGTACACCACCTGGGCTCTACTCCAGACTAATTAAGTAGGAATAGCTCGGGGTAAAGACGTGTCATTGATTTTTTTTTTAAATCTTCCTAGCTGATTCTAATATGTAGTCACTCTCAAGAACCATTGCATTACATGCATATAAGAAACATGCTTAGTTGTAAGATTCACTGGGGATGCTTGTTAAAAATTCTGATTCACAGGCCCTTTGGAGATTTGATTTCATGTGGTGGTGGTGAGCTGAGCTATATGTTTTACACGTGCTTCTGGTGATTCCTGTGATCAGCCACATTGGGAAGGTTGTAAGTTGATGCATAAGACAAGGCTGTCTAGCTGCCTGTCTGGGATGTTTGGAGATCCCTGCTTGAGGACAGAAGTTAGGGTGACTACTGAAGTGTCTTCTACCTCCCAGAGTCTGATCTTAATAAGTTATGAAAGGTATAGTGCAGAGTCTCGGAGAAGGCAGTGGCATACCACTGCAGTATGCTTGCCTGGAAAATCCCATGGACGGAGGAGCCTCGTGGGCTGCAGTCCATGGGGTCGCTAAGAGTCGGACACGACTGGGAGACTTCATTTTCACTTTTCACTTTCATGCATTGGAGAAGGAAATGGCAACCCACTCCAGTGTTCTTGCCTGGAGATTCCCAGGGACGGGGGAGCGTGGTGGGCTGCCCTCTATGGGGTCGCACAGAGTCAGACACGACTGAAATGACTTAGCAGCAGCAGTGCAGAGTCTAAGTTCTAAAATGAAAGAGTAGAGAGTTGTGTGGTTTGATGCTTAGGGGAGCCTTGAGAGGCAAAGCAATTTGGGCAAATTGTCTTTGTAAACAGGTGTTCATAAAGGTTTGTACTTTCCTATGCCTCCCAGCCATCCCACCCTAGGGCACATCCATTTGGAGCAATCATCATCTCACTTGCCCTCCCCTAGCCTTCTTTACCCTAAGGCACCCTCATATTCCTTCTAACCTGATTCTCGTATCCATATAAACATAATGGATGGGACATGGGGTGATTTACAAAAAGCCCCCTTTAGAATGACTTCGGGACATTATCTATACTGGAAGGAAAAGAAATGCTGTCTCAGGAGAGACTCAACCAGATTGTCATGGAGAAAGAGCCACGGTCTGTATAAGGCCCATATAAGTAGGTGCCTAGTAAATGTGCATCATTAACTTGGACCCATCCCCACGCGGCATGAGCAAGGCAGGTGGGGCTTTGCAGAAAAGAGCCGCAGGCTTTTCCCGTCGAAGATCTAGAGAGGTGTGAAGAAGTCCCAAGGACCAGCGTATGCCTGGCAACCCCAGGGGTTCTCTGTGACCTAGAAAAACCTTGAGAACACTCTGGGATTCTTACCAGATGTGGGGGTGGCAGGGAGGAGGGAAGAGAGAGAAGGTTGATGAGGCCAGTCACTCCTCGTTTGAGATGTGAAGGTTGTCTTGAGGCCATGTCACTCAGATTAACCAGGCGCCTCTGGAAATGACAGCACTGGGCCCCGCAGTGGCTGGTGTCATTTGTGGGGCTTTGGGCAGGATGGCTTTCAATTATATGTGTAGACTCACCTAAGTGATGTGATAAATGCCCTGAAAGCCCGAAAGGAGAAGTGTTGCATTTGAAGATACAGGCGAGATCTGTTGGTCCTCCAGGGCCAAGACTCAGAAGGTACTGAGATAAGCAGGGGTCACTCATCACTTGGTTTAGTTCCTTTGTTCATTCATTCATTAATTCTTTCAACATACATTTGTGAGCATCTGTGATGTGTCAAGCAATGTGCTAGGCACATGGGGAAACAGGGAGAAAAAATGCCATGACCTCTGTGCTCCTGGCGCTCTCTTCAGATTCCAGCCTCTCTCTGGTTGTCTGTCTAACTTAGGTATGGAGGTCACACAGAGACAGTGAACTGGCTGTCCTGTCTAGGTGTGCTTTACCGAGGAAGCAGGGAGAAGATGTCAGACGGCAGATCCTTTGAAACCTTTCATTGCGTGGGCTCCCAGGACCTCAGACACACAGTACCTCTGACTTCCAGGCCATCAGTCATTGAATTTCAGCTTACTGAAGGCCTCCTGCTACCCCTGTGTCTGGATCCAGGCTTAAGAGAACTCATTGAGCTGTAGGACTGGCTTCCAAAAAGTGGCTGGCTGCTCATTGGGCAGAATGAACTCATGCCCACTTTGAAATGACGTCACTTTCCAAAGCTTTGGATCTAGGGGGATGGCGTGGAGCCAAGAGCCCACAGGCAGAGATAATGGTCATAGTGAGGCTAGTATCTACCCCTTGATTCAGGAGAAGCTGGATGGAAAAGGCATCCCATTTTTAGCCAGTAGAGCAAGGACAAAGTCTGGCTCCCTAGGAAGAGAGGAAGTCAGCCAAGTCTAGCTTCCCTTGAGCAGGAAACTGGGGTGTGGAGCATGGCCCAGGTGGAGCTCTCTTATAGGAACTGGACACACATCCTAGAGTTAGGGTTGTCTTCTGCTGAAGGAAGTTTCAGAGCCAGGTGTCTTCATACTGGTGGGGGTAGGGCTTACAATATGTGGGGGAATCACATCACACAGGCTTTTGTTAAAAAAAAAATTCAACAGTGGATTTTAAAGGTGTTATTGACATTATTCAACCATTCATGAATGAGGCAGCATCCCATCTCACATCTGGAAAGGAGTGCTGAGGAGATATACAAAATGAAAGGCTTTTATAGGCAGAAGGGCACTGGACCAGGAAGTTAGTAAAGAGTGGATTGGTTATAGCAAGGTCGCTTTCCTTTAAGGCAGGGGTCCCCAACCTCTAGGATCTAATGCCTAATGATCTCAGGTGGAACTTATGTAATTATGAGAGAAATAAAGTACACAATAAATGTAGTGTACTTGAATCATCCCCAAACCAGTCCACTACCATCCCCAGCCTGGGGAAAAATTGTCTTCCACGAAACTGGTCTCTGGTACCAAAAATGTTGGGAACTGCTGCTTTAGGGGAATGGCAGGGTTTCATCAGGCAGATAACTTCATTCATACTGACCAGGTGATTCCTGATTGCCTGGTTTAAGAGCCCATTTGTGGGAGAGACTGACACTGTAATAAAGTTTTGGTTTGATGACATGGGGCTTAGTGTAAGTGACTCTGTTTTGGACCTGTTGTCTTGTTTTTTTAACACTGTTAATTTACCCAAATTCAACTATTCAGCTTGGACCAGAAAGGGGATTCAGAACAATAGGAGAAGGAGAGAATGAGATGAATGGAGAAAGTAGCTTTGACATATATATCATACCATGAGTAAAACAGATAGCTGGTGAGAAGTTGTCGTATAACACTGGAATCCCAGGCTGGTGCTCTGTGATGACCTCGATGTGTGGGTCAGGGGGCGGGGAGGGAGGCTCAAGAAAGGAGATATATATATATATATATATAAAATTATGGCTGAATTCTTTTGTTGTACAGCAGATACTAACACAACATTATAATACAATTTTCCCACAATTAAAGAATAAATTTAAAAAAGGATCTAGGATATGGGGAAAAGAATATTTAAATAGTGGAGACTAATTCACCTACCACTCCTTTCCTGTTTATGCCCATTAAGAGTATGAGATCAGAGGTACCTAGGATCTTGGCTGGAAAATTGCAGATTCTTGTAGCCCATGCCAACAATACCTGAGTATTTTTTTCTCTCAATTTTAACTTAAGATTTTGTAAATGAAAAAGTTTTATATATGTATTAGAACTAGTTACACACTACTGGGTTAACTGTGAATGACTAAGTCGCCTTGTGCGAATGCTAAGTCCCTTCAGTCATGTCTGCCTCTTTGCAACCCCATGGACTGCTCTGTCCATGGGATTCTCCAGGCAAGAATACTGGAGTGGGTTGCCATGCCCTCCTCCAAGGGATCTTCCCAACCCAGGGATCAAAGCCAGCTCTCTTATGTCTCCTGCATTGGCAGGCGGGTTCTTTACCACCAGTGCCACCTGGGAAATCCCTACTCTGAATACATGAATGTATGTATGTATGTATGCATGTTTCACCATAGAGGAAAATCAGCCATGGTGCCTTTTATTATCACCACTGTTCAGAGGTTGCAGATATAACTGGTTGATTTCCCTTTCTACCACTCATTCCGGAAAGGCCCAATTCACCCAGTTGCCGTATTTCCTCACAAAGGCCACAAAGAAAAGAGAGCCCCTTTTTCCCATTCCAATGTCTCCTCTATTTAATGGTCACAACAAATATGTAAGATTTATTGGCACCAGTTACGCTTGAACCATTAGGAGTGCCTTCAGGTTGACACTGTATACAGAAGCTCTCTCAAACATGTGGACTCAGTTTAACCTTTTTCTATATACTGTAAATGCTTCCCTGGTGATAGCATCCCTTTTCTGCTGTACAAAGCCTTCCTGAATGCTTCCTGTGATCTTGTATGGCTTCACCGTTGATTTTGGTTAGCTTCATTTGCATGTAGCCTTTCTCATTATCCTGCTTGATTGTAAGGGTGGGGGAGAGTTCCCATTGTCAGGGCAACCTGGAGTCCTGCGTGCTGAACTCCATTTAGTTTTCCCAGAATTTCAACT